AAGTGAAATATATCTTTTAAAAGAGTAGAAACCCAAGCTTTCAGAGGGCTTTTGGTTCACTGAGGAGAGTCTTTTCCTTGTTAGCAGGGCATTTTCCTTTGAGTTGATAGTTCCATACTAGTTTAGAGTAATGTGAGTCTCTAGCGTTTGAGCAACAGACATGGATGAAAGATTTTCTTTAAGGACACCACCACAGTGCTATCTTTCACTGTGTACATAAGACAAATAAACCATCTCAAAAAAATACCTTCCAGCCCAGCCGGTGTGGATCAATGGTTGAGCACTGACCTATGAGCGAGGAGGGGAGGGTTCAATTCCAGGTTGGGCGCGTGCTGGGGTTGCAGGCTCGAACCCCAGTAGCAGGTGTGTAAGAGGCAGCCAATCAGTGATTCTCTCTTATTGATGTTTCTATCTTTCTCTCCCTCTTGCTTCCTTTGAAATCAATTAAAAACAAACAAACAAACAAACAAAAAAACCCTCAACTCTTCCTGTTGGGAGTCACACACCTCCCCTGCCTGGGCCCTGGACCCCATCAGCTTTGCCTGACCGCAGAGAGGAGCAGCGGGACTTACTAGTACTCCGTTACGCCCCTTCAGAACTGAAAACCAGCCGAGGGAGCTTTCACATCACACCACCTGCATGACTGAATCTAATCACGTATTTTATCTGTCTTCCTTTTGTATCTAAGGTGAAGCCAGCACTAGTATGACTCAGTCTGTCAAATGGAGCCACTTGATCAGGTCAGCGGAGAATCAAACCCCTAGAGGCAGCGCACCCAGGCCCTGGCCTGGGGAGAAGGGGGCGGGCAGGGCGACCTATGCAGGAGCAGAACACAGCCTCCGAGGGAACAAGTCACCCGAGATCACACAGGTGTGTAATAGTTACAAACCACCCAGGCACAGATGGAGACTGAGGACGAGTGAATTTTAGAGACCAGAGTCTCTCTGCTAACACTGGGAGGCAGTGCAGACCACGGGGAGCAAAGCAGACTAGGAAGCTGGTCGGAGGCTCCCAGTCCTGCCACGCGAGGAACCAGACGCACACTGATTGGCAATGACCTGCCCCAGGCCCCACAGCTCACTCAGGGGTAACGGGAGGGGCCGGGGCCTCACTCCCAGTCCAAGCTCCTCTACAACACCAGACTCTCTTTCCTTTGACTTTCCCTCCTTGCCACTGCTGTTTCAGAACCATACACACAACACCCTCCATTTCTCAGGGGTAACACCAGGGTGTCCCCAAGAGTTACATCCTCAGAAAGGCCCTTTCTGACCAGCCCGCCTAAAGCAGACGCCAAGCCCACACCCTGTTTCATTTTGATGTCAGCACATACTTTTCCACTCGTTCTTCATCAACCACCGCCACACCGAGGTACAGCACCAGGAGAGCGGGGAGCTCCTGTGCCTCCTCCCCACTCTGACTCAGGCTCACAGCCTGGCTTCCCCTGTGCGCCCAACACATGATGAATGAAGCCGGGACAAGTCAACTACTATACATGTCAGTCTCTGAACTCCTAACACAAGAGAAGGTGCGGGGAAGAGTAGAGTGTCATCATTTGTAATTTACTGAGATCTTTATGAATGCAAGTCAGCTCCTCTCTGCTCAGTAATTCATATACAATTGATTTCAGAGAGGAAGAGAAAAGGAGAGAGAGAGAGAGAGAGAGAGAGAGAGAGAGAGAGAGAGAGAGAGAGAGAGAGAATATCATTGATTGGCTGCCTCCTGCATGCCCCCTATTCAGGATCGAGCCCACAACCCAGGCATGTGCCCTTGACTGGAATCAAACCAGGGACCCTTCAGTTCACTAGCCGATGCTCTATCCACTGAGCCAAACCAGCCAGGGCTGCTCAGTAATTCTTATCAAGGGACCACCAGGGCAGCTCTCCGAAGCTTGACAGTGAGGGGACAGTGACTTCAGAGGCTGAAGGATGACCCAGCCGCCAGGGGAGCTCCCCCGTCTGGAGCCCCCAGGGGGCTGAGGGAATTTTTGCTGGAGGAAGGTGGGGGCGTTTTATTTTGTTTCCTCCTGGGACAGCTTAGAGAGGACACCTTAACTTTAGGAAGAAGTAAACGACAAGGAAGCACAACGATAGTTATGACTTTTCTTTCTTTTTTTTTTTTTTTAAATGTTGTTTGGGATACACTCACCCTAGAACAAAAAATATACTCTGCTTAATCTTCTAATGGAAAATACTAGGTGATGTTAATCAATAAGGACACAAATCCAAATACACACTCTGAAATATAGCATTACATTTTCATGGTTTTTAAAAGAAACAGCATTAGAGGTTTTGATGCACACAGACGGTGGAGTGAGTCTGTGAACACCAGTCCTCAGCGCCTTGCACTTGGAGGATCTTCCCTTTGGGGAAGAGCACAGAAGGGCGGACTGCTGTCCAGACCTGCATCAGCACTTACAAGGACAACATTCTTTCCAAAAAAAAAAAAAGTGCAAAAATTCCCACACAAGCTCGTGTGTGTGTGTGTGTGTGTGTGTGTGTGTGTGTGTGTGTGTGATGGCTGCTGGAATTACTTCTATTGTGATGTCACGAGCCCCCGGGGGCAGGTGACTGAGTCATCTTTCTGCTCCTTGCTCCTAATCACCAAGCGGGGAGGCCTCCGAATAGGTCCTGGGACCACAGCTGCTTGGCTGAATCAAAGATGAGCACCTGTGACATTTTTTTGGATTCTTTGCTTGGACACCTCAATGAAGGAATGACCCTCTTTCCACACAGAGAAAAGCCTGCCTCTCCGCATTAGTTTAGAAGAGTTGTGTTTTAAATGGTTTTGAGAGAGAGAGGTGGAAAGTGATTTGTTGTTCTATTCATTTATGCATTCATTGGTTGATTCTCACATGTGCCCTGACTGGGGATTGAACCCACCACCTTGTCATATGGGGACAGTGCTCTAACCAGCTGGGCTGCCTGGCCAGGGCTGGAAGAGTTTTGATATCACAGAACTCCGGCGATGGGATTCTGAAGAACCTGGGCGTCTGAGTAAGGTCAGGGAGCTGCACGGAGGAGAGGGCACCTGAGTCGGTCTCCTCCACGAAGGAGGAGGAAGGCGGGCACATGTGGCACAGAAACAACTGCAGGGGGTGCCATCATCCCCATTCCATAGAGGAGAGGAATGGAGATGAGAGAGCTGAAGGAGAGCCCTGGCGGGTGGCTCAGTTGGTTGGAGCATCATCCCAGGCACCAAAGACTGCAGGGTCACTTCCTGGTCAGGGCACACACATAGGTTTCAAGGTTCAGTCCCCAGTCAGGCCACATTCGGGAGGCAGCCAACCAATATTTCTCTCTGATATTGATGTGTGTGTCTCTCTCTCCTTTCCTCTCTCTCTAAAATCAATAAAAACATGTCCTTTGGTGAGGATCAAGAAAGGAAGAAAAAAAAAAAAAGCTGAAATAGATTGCCCAGGCAAACAGTGGATTTAAAATTCAGATCTCGCCGAAACTGGTTTGGCTCAGTGGTAGAGCGTCGGTCTGCGGGCTGAAGGGTCCCAGCTTCGATTCCGGTCAGGGGCATGTATGTTGGTTGCGGACACATCCCCGGTGGGGGTTGTGCAGGAGGCAGCTGGTTGATGTTTCTCTCATTGACGTTTCTAGCTCTCTATCTCTCTCCCTTCCTCTCTGTAAAAAATCAATAAAATATATTTAAAAAAAAAATTCAAATCTCTTTGGTACCCAAACCTCTGCTGGCTCCTTGGGGAAACTCCATTGACATTTCAGCACCAAAATGTAGTTCTAAAGACTAAGTAGAATCACCTGGTTCCAGTCAAGAGCCAAACGGTCGGCCTGGCTCTCCAGGCACAAGGCAGTGCGTGCAGCAGCCTCCACCCACTAGGAACTGCTAGGAATTCTGCCCGGACTGGCCACAGGACTTATAAGGACCGGCAGGGGGCAGGAGGGCAGAGAGAGAGAGACTGAAGGCTGAACTCTGAGGAGAGGGGAGGGGTGGGGCAGCACTAAGTGGTTTGCTCTTGATCCTATGGGGGGTGAAAAGCATGGACTGTTTCAGTCGGGAAGTGACATAATCAGTCTGTGTTTGAGCCAATCCCTCTGGGAACCGGCAGGAAAAGGACCCAGAGGCTGCTGCAGTAATCCGATGGAAAGTTTGCGCTCCTGAGCTGGGCTGTGGCAGCGGCGAGTGAGAGAGGAAAGCCAGACAGACCCAAGAGACAGAACGGACAGCACCTGGATGTGGCTGCTAGACAGACAGCAGAACCCAGGTGGCTCCTTAGGAAGAAGCATCACTGGGAGAAAATGCAGACACACTACGTTTTAAAGACTCAAAACTTAGCCAAGACTGAATCAATGTACAAGGCAGGTTTCCCAGGCTGGTGGTTATGAGGTCAAAAATAATATTGGAGCAAAAAGAAGTGAAATAAATGTTATAATTGCAAACAGTAGAGGGAGAGCTAGCAATGGTTACCAATAAAGAACAATCTTGGTAGCAGAATACAATTAATCAAGTAAGTAGTCCCCATGCCAGGTTTAATAAACAGATAAACAAACAAAGTACATCTTTCTCACTAGAAACAAGGCAATTACTTTTAAGTCAGCTGTGTGTCATCTCTATTGAAAGGAAGTCCCTAGAGAGCAGATGGTGCCGAGCTGAGACAGACTGGCCGGGCCTCCTCACCCAGGCCTACGTGGAGGAAGACCGCACTTTGCTTGCTGGTTTGTGTTGTTTGTTTGTTTTTTAAGGAGGCAGATTTGCCACTCGGAGTAAGGAATGTCTCAGAAGAGAGTAAGGGAAAAGGGAATGGAGAAAGATTAAAGGAGCAAAGCAGGAAGAAGGGGAGAGATGAGATGAATGTACAATATATTGCAAATACATAGCCGGTATAAAAACCATCAAATTTTTTTTTTTAAAGCGCTAATTTGATTTTGGTGGCGTTTCCTCTTTAAGGGAGCAATGCTGAGTGAGCAAGGAGGTTCGCAAGCAAGTGCCTCTGTGTATAAGGAACGTCAGCAGCGGGGCCAGAGAGTCATTCTTACCATGTTTCAGATGTAGGCAGCTGTCATTCTGGGACCTGTACCTGCAGAAAATTGTGTCTTTAACAAATTTTTATTGAAGAGGTTTTTGAACATTCCAAATATGTAGTAGCTACAACATCATGCGGACCTGTTTGCTTTACTTTTTTATGGTTCTTATACCAGCCGTTTTTATTTGTGCAGGACAAGTGACCTTACTTTTAATGAAAGAAAAGGGGAAATAAATAAGACCTCACGATTGATGCCTTGAATTAATGTGTAGGAAAGATAAACCCTCACACCATGTTTTATATTTTTAAATAACCTAAACCACACACACAAAAAAAGATTCTCAGGGGGTATAAGGTAGCATAGTATAGAATCATCATAAAAAATTTTTACTGTAAAGAGTTCTGCAAATAGAAGAACAGAAGTAGTAATAAGGCAAAGAGAACACAGACAACAGAAACAAAAACAAAGCAAAACAAACGACCACAGTTACCCAGGATTCCAGGTGACAGGGTTGGAGAAAGGAGTTTTTAGATGTACCCGCACACAAAGTCACATTGAAAAGAAAGGTCTCCTAAAACATCTTTAAAGAATCTCAGGAGGAAAAGCAAAGTGGAAGTATCACAAGATAGAGTTGCCGAATAAAGCAGTGTGTGTGTGTGTGTGTGTAGAAAGATGCAAACTACTTTAAAGGTGTTTGTCAGAAGCGTGAGGATTTACGGAAAAGTCACAGGGTGCCTACCTGATGTGGATTCCTGTAGTTTCTCTCTCTTCCTCTTCTTTTTCTTACCCTGGAAGAAGACAGGCACGATGTCATGCTATAGACTGTACTGAGAACACATGGGTGAATGAGACACAACAACACAGATGGGCAGTCAACGAAGAGATACAGATGCCTCATATTCATTCTCATTTTCTCTACCCCCCTTTCCCCCCGGCCCTCTCTCAAATCAATAAACACATCCCTGGGTGAAGAGAAAATATGTATGAAATCACATTAACAGTAAAAAATAAGACTATAAGACCAACTTGAATGTATTGTGTGAATACATGAAAGCATGTGTTTATACTCATAAAGGTAGTTTTTCTTCACATCACAGGGCCTGACTGCTGAGGCCATAAGACTTTGGAAAGTTGACTGAACTATCCTCGCAAACACCGAGGCCGCCGGCGGGAACTGGCGTGTGAGGAAGAGCAGAGTGGCTTCTGAGGCTACTGAGTGCTCTGGGAGGGGAGCGGGCAGCGGGAGAGTGTGCTGCTCACTGGCACCATCACCCTTTCAAATTGTTTTCACAAGGCGTGGTGAGGTTGTTTCATGTCGGGAACTGACTTCCTCACTCTCTCCTCCTCCCTCCCATTTGTCCTTTAACACTCACCTCTCCTGCCATCTCTTCCAGGAACTACTTCTCCCTCACCCCACCCCTCCCTCAGCCGGAGCTCACCGCCATGCCTAACTCACCACAGGTAGATGCTGTGCTGGGCTGTGTTCCCCCGGTCCCTCCCCGCACAGCCACCCAGCACACACCTAGAACATGTGGCTGCAGCCTTTGTGAAATAACCGAGACCAGCGGTCGCCAACCTTTCAGACCTCATGGACCTCAGTGGTCCGAGGACCACTGGTTGGCAACCACTGACCTAGGCCACATTTCAAGGACAAGCAGGTGTTTCAAGAGAACCCACAGTTATAGCAAGCAAAAAGAGCTACATCGTTTGGATGCCTTAATGTCAACCTAGGCAAAAAAACAAAAGTCATGGATGGCAAGCATAAAAATATTTTTCATAAAATTATATCTAATACTGAGGTTATTAAGCACTAAATTGAAAAGCTCCAATAAATACTTGGCTGATCTCACCTAAGAAAATGTGTGCACTGTTGTTGATTTATGAAAGCCTCAGTTATAAAAGCTATGCACACAAATTGAAGTTATAAAATCTAAAATGCCATAGAATAATAGGGCATTTTAATAGTAAGTCATTGAGCTATATTTACTATGATCTCAGTGAGGATCAGACTAGCATTCTGACACTAAAAGCTAAGCTAAATAAAGATAGTCCTGTTTAGACTACTCTTACACTGTTATTTTAAGAATACCTTTAGCTAAAGTGCTATCACTTGATTGACTTCTGTTTGCCTTAGTAATTAATAGACTTACTTTAAATTGTACGTAACACATAATGAATGGGTTTCCCCTTCATTCAGGACAATCCTAAAATCAAGTTTTGCAAAAACAATTTCCTTTAAAAACTGTGCTGAGGAAAATCTTCCAAGGTAAATTCACATGACACTGGCTGCCTTTAAAACTTTCTTCCCATCTCTCCATATGGACAGAAGAGAGAGCGAGAGGGAGAGAATGTTTCTTTTATCTCTTCCGAAAAGTAAAAACTCACTTCTCTACTTCAGGGTCAGAACCAGAAACTTCAAAGACATTCAAGATGCAATGCTCATCCATTCTATACAGGTTCATAGCACAGCACAGCCATCCCCTGGGCTGGAGAGGGTCAGCCAGCTGCTCCTCCTGGGCAGACCGCCTCCCGGACAGAGGCAGCCCGGGTGCGAAAAGGACGCTGCTGAAACCCTTTGGGCGGGAAACAGATTCCCACTGAAAGGGCATGGCAGAGGCTCTGCCCAGAAGACGCTAATTCTAATCACTGCCCCGGGACCAGAAGCCCAGGGCAGGAGAGAAAACTCAACTCCAGCAGTCTCCTTCGGGAGGTGCTGGGAGACTGGGCCTGGTGAGCTTGTGGGCTTAGAAAACTGCTTTTGCCAACATTTCAATAAGGTCTTTTAATTATCTTTGTATGAAAGAAAACATAAGGTGTTTTCTTACTTATTTAAAAAGTTTCATTTAAAAAATGTATTAGCACTTATAGAGAAAAAAAAATTGTGATAGCTCAAAGCTTTCAAATTGTGATTATGTTATGAAGTCTCTTCATTTCCAAACATAGGACACAACATCAGCATCGGACACTCAGGCAGACACACGTCCTCCCTGAAAGCCGTGGGAAGAGAGGGTGAGGGACAGCAGCGCCGTGGGCGCGGGGCGGCCTTACGTAATTGTCTCTCGCAGACCAGCCTGGATAGAGCTGCATGTGAAGCTGCCTTTCCTTCCGCGCCAGTTCATAATACTTAGCCTGCTCTTCGCGGGAGAGGGCGTGCCACTGAAACAGAGGGGGACAGGGGGAGACAAACACAAGTGAGCAAAACAGACACAGTAGTTTCGAGTTCATGTTTTCAACACCGAAGAACATTAAGCACTAAAACATCGATTTATTTGTAAATGGCAGGAGACCGGGAGCCGCAGACATCCCGCTGGAGTCTGGTGGCGGGAGCCGGAACTCCCGCCGTGGTCTCTCCGTCCCGTTCTCTGATATCACAGGAAACACATCAAAGCCGACCCAAGGACCCAGCGTAACAGGATCTGTCACCCGCCCTTTCTCCTTTCCAATACAAATTAAAAAGAACGTTCACGGCTGAACCTCAACGCCCAATTTAGCCCTTTTCATCGTTGGTAGCATATTCTGATATCTGAGCCCGAGTACCACTTATTTATGCAAAACGTGATAACTTCCAGATGTCTTTCCCACAGATACACCCTCGCTTCGCATGGACACTCTCCCACTGTCACACGGAGAGCCTGAAACCTTCATCACCATAGGATCCTGTCCGTGAAGCAAGACATCAAAGCCGGTCTGCCCCAGCCTCTTCAGCCTCTCCTCACACGCACAGGAACGCTCATGGTCTCCAGGGGGAACACTGATAACACTGTACACGCTCACTTCGCTGCCTCCTGATGGCAGGCAAGGAGCATTATCGAAGTTTATGTTGCCATCTAGGGAGTTTGAGGCAACAGCACCTACTTTGGAGAATGCAGCTGCGATACCCTGCAAACTTCCCATTTGCCTTTCACATCACTGATATACACGTATATGGCAAAATAGCTTATGTAGGGCAAGGCATTTTAATAGCTTATATTTGCACACTACTCTGCACATATTTGCCCACAACGTGCCCCAGGCCCCCAGTAGGCAGTTTCAAATATATTCCCTACTTCCTCAGCGCCCGGATCTGTCAGCAGAACCTTCCAGGAGACTGGCTGAGTTTTGGGGGACCCCATTGGCAGGAGGTGATGGCACAGAGGCGGCAGTCCACGTGCACACCTCGCACTGGCCCAGCCTCTGCTCCTGCTCTCCCAGCTCACTCCTTCCAGTCTTTCTCATTCATGTCCACCCTGAATATTGATTTTAATTCCCCTGTTCTTTATGAATGACAAAACAAGGAAAAAGAAATGACAGGTGTGGCTGGATTAGGGAGAGAAAGGAGGAAGAAGGGTGGATGAGAAAGTTCTCAGGAAGAAGCGATGTCTCAGTATGGACCGTATGGACCGGCCCCTGAAGGCCGGCTAGGGAGATTTCCTGGGGAAAACAAACAGCCGCTGCTCTAGTCTGCCAAGAGAAGCCCATCTCAGGAGGAGCACTGACACCCCTTCTGCCACATCCCACCCACCGCGCCAGCCTCCAGCAGGCCAGCTAAGTCCATGTCCTTTGAAAGCCCCTTAAAAGCCAGGGCTGCTGTGCTGGACAGGGTAGATGATTTATTTTTTAATTGCTGTAGAAGTGTAGAGTGTAAAGTTAAGAAGCAAGACACACAGCAGGCCTTGGCCTGAACCTAAATCAGGTAATGTGCTTTTCTTAAAAAGAATTGGGGGAGGGGACAGAAGAAAACAAACAAACAAACAAACACCTGAAAGCTACCTGAGGCCCAGTGCACTGCACCAGCAGAGTAAACCCGCCAAGTCAAGTGGCGCCTAGGAAGAGGCCTGTCTGGGTCGTCCTGGCAGCTTAAACCAGGCAAGAGAAGTCACGTGACATCTGCCGAGGGGCAGTGTTCCCAAACCTGAGACACTAGGCTGGCCTGGTGAGAGCCCTCTACAGGGAGAGGCAAACAAAATGAACACAAGGGAAGAGGGAAGCCTGGATTGCTTTTTTCTGTAGTGTGGTTGTTTGTTTTTTGAGGAAAGACTGATCATTAATATTTACACTTCTAGCTGAAACCAGTTTGGCTCAGTGGATAGAGCGACGGTCTGCGGACTCAAGGGTCCCAGGTTCAATTCTGGTCAAGGGCAAGTACGTTGGCTGCAGGCACATCCCCAGTAGGGGGTGTGCAGGAAGCAGCTGGTCGATGTTTCTCTCTCATCGATGTTTCTAGCTCTCTATCCCTCTTCCTTCCTCTCTGTAAAAAAGTCAATAAAATATATTTTAAAAAATATTTACACTTCTGGTATGAAGTAAATGTGACTCGCAGGAGGCAAAGTGTTACTGAAGAAGAACACAAAAGGAGGCAAAAAGGGACTAAAGTTAGGAAAGAAGTCTTATCTTGTAAATTTGTATATTCGTTTGACAAATAATATCTCTCTAATGCTACCATAGCATATCAATATAATTTTATGTAACATATGGCAGCTTTATCACTTGCTGAGAAAACCTGAAATAAGTTTTATAAAACTATTTCCCACGTTTGGGAAGTTGGGTCTTCTACCCAAGCAACGGGTATTTTTCAGTTCAAGCTGAAAACTTAGGGTTGACAAAAAATCCGAGCTCACAAAACTGAGCAAGCTGCAAGGAGAAAAAGCAGGTCACAGATTAAACCATTTACTTGCTTTTTTTCAGTTCCTTTTAGTTTGCTGATGTTTCTAATGCTCAAAATCTACTCACAATGAAAGATCGTTCACCAGAGAAAAGCAGAGAAAAGTTCTGCACTAAAACAAAAATAAAGTCTAATACAAACTAGAAAGATGATCTTTCTTTACAGGAATTTCTGAAACACACCTTGCGAAAAATGCTTTTCTATTGCTTTTGCTTGCTGAAAAACTGAGCTAATTTTTAAAAAAATTAAATTTCATTATCAAGATTTCACCAAGTTGTTGAGAAAATACCCACTTAAGGAAATTTATACAATTCCAAGATTTTAAAATCCTGACAATACATTTGCAATAAATGAACTTCCTTCAATAGCCTAGAATGTCTTTTTTTTTTAAAGCTTATTTTAAAGCTAAGATTTGTGTTATTATTTATAATAATAATAAGAAAACTGATTAATTCCTACGCATGAACATTTCTACTTTAGAGAGACAATAAAGATGCATAAAAACCCAAAGATAAACTGTTCAGGGATGAATTTAAGCTCCCCTTTAAGAATTACAATCATCCCAGAGTAAAACGTCATGATGGCAAAGCCAGGGACTTTCAGGAGGAGCAGGGACTGCGCTGGCAGGGGGAGCCATGAAAGGAGAGAAAACCTGATCTTACTCAGAGAACTCAGAAACTATAAACAGAAACAGGTGTCCAAATCAAACACAGAGAGAGACCCCAAATGAGAACCATCCCTCAGGACACATGCTCTGATCTGGGGATGGTTAAGGGAGCCGAGAAAGCAGCAATTGTGGGAAACGTGCATGAAAAATAGGAAGCACGCCGCCATGGCATGGCCTTCCCTCGTCTCCTGAGCGGGAAAAGGATCCCTGCCGGAAGGTGGGGACCTTCAACACACAAAAGGAAAACAGCAAAACAAAAACACACAGCCACAGAGTTTTACAGAAGCCGAAAGAACAACTCTTCTTTTCCTCTGATTTCTTCTCTTAAAGGGTCAGGGGAAACGGTCATCAGTCTTTAAGCTTTTAAGGTGGAGTTCTTCAAAGACGATGGAAATCACTCATCGGCTTGGGAAATCATTGTAATTACTGTTATTAAGTGTTTAAGAATCCACAGGACATACAGTATTGTGCGCAGGGCACCGAAAAGCTATAATCTGTCCCTGCACCCTGACCCTGAAACCCTGGTGTCTTGCAGATTGGAAATAGCTGCATTTATTTTTGCCATCCAACAGGAATCAATAATGCAAGAAGGCCTGCTTCCCTCTGCCTAAAATCTGAATGCTTTCTCTTATGAATGCTAAAATGTTTTAGGTTTGTAGCAAACATGGTAAAAATGATCATCAATAACAGATAAAATGTGGTCCTCTAAGTTTCCCAAAGGTTGCTAGACCCCCATTGTTGAATGCTCATTTGCAAATCACCAATTTCTTGAGGTTTCAAAAACAAGTATACACCTGCATAGTTAAGAAGCCACCGCACATCTATGAAGAGCAATAACTATGATGAAGCATCTTCTAAAATTATAATGCAATGACAGAAAAAAATGTGATTTGAATTTAAAAATTCAATTTTTCCCCCACTACTCATCAGATCCCTAACTAAAAGCATTTCAATCCAGAGAAAAACCCCTGGAAAAACGAACTAGCCTTTCAGCTGGTGGTTGGATATAAAAATCTCAGTATCTGTTCTAGTCACAGCCTAGTGCCTGGTACACAGTATGTTTTTAGAAAAATATCTTAGCATAGGTGACAAAATGATGAAAAAGGGGAGCAATCCAGAAACTTTGCTCATGTACATTTTGAGAAACAGAAAGTGATTTTTCTAGAGCAGTGTTTCCCAAACTTATATCCCCACCAAACTCTTCCCGTACCCCTGTGGGCACGCGTACCACACTTTGGGAAACACTGTTCTAGAGTGAAGATTCCTCTGGCCCATTGAAGTTCTTCCACTCAAAGCTTCTGAGTAGCACAGATCTGCTTCCACCTTGGAAGAAGTGGCCAGTATCTGCGGGGTGTACAGGCCTTCCCGTGGCTCCCCATTGGGCTCAATGCTCTCCTGTTTCAGACAGGACTTCACACACACACGTGGTTAACCCCTACGCATCCCTCAGGTCTCAGCTTAGATACTTTCTCAGAGGGCCCTTCTCCTAGCCCCATCGTTCTTCCTCATAGAAGCTTATTCTTTATAGTCACAGTATTTGTCACAATTTTAATTATACATTTATCAGGTAATTAACTGCCTAATATCTGTATCCTGTCACAAAACTTTAAACTCCAAGAAGACAAGAACCATATCTATTTTATTCAGCCATTATTATCTCATTGCCTCACTACAGTGTCTGGCACACACAAGGCAGCAAGTACTTGTTTTTACGAGTGACAGCAGGAACAGCAGCATAGGTGGTTGACAATGCACTGCAGTGTTTCTCAAACGTTTGACATATGTGTACCCCTTCTATGATTTTCGTAACGCTGAGTACCCCTCGTACTCATGAGAATGTAGAGTTAGGCACAGCTAAGCACAGTGCAGTGCATACCCCCACCAAACTCTTCCTGTACCCCTGGGGGTACGGTACCACACTTTGGGAAACATTGCATTAGAGCACATGTGTCAAACACAAGGCCCGCGGGCCAAATCCGTCCTGCCAGGCCTTGCAATGTGGCCCGCACCGCGCTGTCATCACTGCACTCCGCTGCGTTTCCATCACAATGACAGTTTATGACTGTTCAGTAAACCATTCGGCCCGCGATTTAGGCTGGATTTTAGATTTTGGCCCCTTCTCTGATTGAGTTCGACACCCCTACATTAGAGCATTTAATCCTCGGGAAAGCTATTGCCATAGCTTGTTCTCTTGATTCCTTCCCAGAGAGGCTGGTGATGACCCGTATGCATCTGATGACCACCTCACAGGCAAGTGCCTGTGGGCAGGCTCTAATGAGGCAGCCCCACGCATTCCACAAGCACGGGTTTACCATCCCACTACTTACCCTTCTGCCTAGGATCTGGTTGATAGCTGCACTTTCTTTCAGAGTACACTCGGCCACCACGTTTGCTCTCATTTCTTTCATGTATAACATAAAAGCATTCAGAGGTTTCTTAATGTGAGGTCTCTTGGGCTCCTGCTCCTTTCTCTGTTCGTGCTGAGGCTTCCTGAAAGGGGGATGTGGTGTTGAGGGGGGTGGTGGGCAGAAGAAGGAAGAGATGGGCGGACAGGAGCAGAGCGTCTGATGACACAGCCTCTGATTCTCACAAGCCTGAACACCATCAGCTTAGAAGAGCAACCCTTGGTGACTGAGTACCCTCTGGTTTGAGAACTTTCTCTGGGAGCAATCGAAGTGTCAACACCCAGGAAATGGGTGTGTTCGGCTGCTCCAGTTAGGGCCCCGAGGCCCAGCTCCTTGGTCACCTCAGGAAAAACTCAACCTACAGTATAAGTAGTCATTCCTCTTTCAGAAGTCAGGTTCCTAACTTGGGGGAAGAGAGGCTGAAGTTTCATTCACGCCCTCTCCCCCAAACAAGTGCTTGTTGGCTTTGCCCACATTTGCAGGGCATTTATGGACTCTCTTGTGCTTCCTACCATCCCATCCTCCCAGTCTGCAAACCCTCTGCATTAAGAAACTCAACTCCTAGTCTCTTCAAGGAAATTGCTGTAACAGCCTGATACAATCCTGGGTATGGTTGTCTCCTTTCCCTGGACTTTCTATGCTGTTAACAGCCTGTATCCTGGACGGGCACTGGACTCCCAGTCCTTTTCAGGTACCATTGGGGGGTGGGCTCCCCAACAATCAGAACCAATTGAAACCAGGCAGGAAGGGGCTGCGTAGCTCAAGCTTATCCAGTGCCTGTGCTCGGAAGACTACTCCATTTTGGCGAGGTTCCCTGGATCTACTGAGGTCCATGCTCCTTTCCAATCCCAGAATCACAGGTGGCAGTGAGAATCAAGCCTGCTAGAAGTCCACAGGAAGCTGAGCTCACTGGGCTCAACAGGGAGGAGGAACGGGCTTACGTGGCAGCACCTTCGGGCGCCCACTTACACGTGCATCAGGTCCCCGTCAGTGTGGGGGTGCTCCTGCTTGACCTGAGGCGTGACAATGGCTGGGTGAGGGATGCCAGTTGTGTGGGGACCCGGAGGACCAGGAATCATGTGATGGGAAAACCTGAAGGAAGGAAAGAGAAGAAACAATACTCACGAGCGGCCGCTGCAGCCAAAGCGAGATGGCGTCTGCAACAATCCACTCACTGCCACTGGCAGTTACACACGGGAGAATTAACTGCACATTAGCATGGGCTGAGAATTCCTTTCCTTTCTGTGTTCAGGTGGAAAATATTTATAATTATTCCCTATATTGCAACTCCCCCCCTTCCCAAAAAACAAAAAACAAAACTAAGAGTAGAACCTGCTGGCATTTTTCCTGGGACGGCTCTAGGCCACAGGATTAAAAGAAACTGAGTCATTTTACATGCAAAGCAGTTCTCAAATAATTTCATTAAGAACAATTATGTTGGAAATAAAACAAGTAAGATTTAGCTTTTCAAAGATTTTTAAATAAAAGCTAAGGAAATCACGTTTAAAAAAAACTCTGCCGCTGAGACCGGTTTGGCTCAGTGGATAGAGCGTCGGCTTGGGGACTGAAGGGACCCGGGTTCGATTCCGGTCAAGGGCATGTACCTTGGTTGCAGGCATATCCCCAGTAGGGGGTGTGCAAGAGGCAGCTGATCAATGACTCTCTCTCATCGATGTTTCTAACTCTCTATCTCTCTCACTTCCACTCTGTACAAAATCAATAAAATATATTTAAAAAAACTCTGCCGATGTTCCCAATCAAACCGTCACAGTAAGAGTCTTCCCGAGTGGTTGGTTTCTAGTACTCACACTAGGAGAGAACAACTGAGGAAATAAGGGACAGGAAGGTATGTTTCAGTCCCCAATTCAATAAGGTTGCCCTTACCACCCAGAGTAACTTTCTACACAGAAAGAATGCTTAAGAGATCTTGCCTGATGGAAAACTGGTAACATAATGGAGGGAAGCGTTTAATCAGAGGGAGGGATACATGGAGTTTCTACATCAAGGCAAAAACTACACACGCTGAACAAAGGCTTCCCCCCGAGTGTGCTTGCGGAGCGTAAAAACATCTTAAAATATCCACCACCGTCCAACACAAAGGAGGGAAACTGCCATGCAAGACAAATAAAACAAATAAAGGCTACTTTCAACAAGCACGTTGGGTAAATGTGCGTGTGCTTTCGAAATCTTTGCTTTTTAAACTGTTTTAAAGTAAACAATTTGGCAAGAACAACATTCCAGGTCTTTCATCACAGCCGGTACAATGCACTCCTTCATCTGGGAAGGAAAGAAGGAACTCTGCTTGGATATGTAATATTTCAGAAACAAATTTTTTTTTTTTTTTTTGAAATTAAGGCAGCATGGTAAAAACACAAATAGTTGACCGAATGATAATGCTTTGCTAAATGCGCCATTTGCAAGAATACATGATGCCCAGGAAAAATTCCTGTTATCAGATAGTTCTTACAGTGTTAAAAAGAAAAAAAAAGTGTAAAAATATATTTGGGGGGGAAGGATATTAATTTATCCCCTTCCAATGAGCTGAATGTACAATTTGTAAAACTAATGTGTTTATTTTGTTTTTGTTTTGTTTTTCTCAAAAAGCTGAAATTCACCACACAAACTGCGAATTTCATACCTACATAAAAAGTAAAGATCCGCGACCAGCGACAGGCCCAAAAGCTTGACTTCCGGCACAACAATGCTCCCGGGGAAAGCGGCACGGAACACAGATGCCACACCACACGCGTGTGCACATCAAGCACAGGCACAGAAGCCATCCTGTCCAGAAGCAAGCGTCCCGCAGAGCAGGGGGTGCAGACGCCCAGAGCTGTGCTGGCACTGCGTCCCCACAGGGCCTGATTCACACACTAGGACCCCCCTCCACCCCCCAAAACCCAGGGCTCTTCTGACAGCCTTGGTCCAGGAAGGCTCTGGACCGTCTGGGCATTTGCAAACACAGTCCCATTAAATGATACAACTTTCCCCGGAGAACGGCAAGGATAGAACTCAAACCAAACCAGTCTTATCTCCCCCCGTTTCCATACCCCCAGCGTATTTTGAGTAAAACAAGCTCTTAGGTTGTCCACTTTTGGGACATTTCACATCCTGCTGCCATCGGGTGGCATGGGGTCTTCTGGAGGCACAGTCTCCCGCGTGGCCGAGCGCGTCCCCCGGGCGGTGTGGCTGGTGCTTGCTGTGGGGGCGCAGAGGAAGGCTCCTTCCTACCCAGGAATCTCTAGGACACCTAGTGTGGGAGCCAGGCACGCTGCACAGACAGACGCGGGGCTGAGCTGCGCACACTCCAAGCCGACAGACCCGGAGGCAAGCAGCGGCGCACAAGATGCAAGCGCAGGAGGAGCAGCTCGCCCTGGGCGCCCGTTTCCACCTCCACCTACCTGGACATGGAAGTGTCGACTGACAGTGAGGATGGGTAGGGTTGCCTGAATCCTCCCGTGATGGGATATACAGGCTGACCTTGCCTGAGGTCACAGAAGAAAGGAACCCATCAATGACAAAACATGAGTAACCAACCAGCAGTCAGAGTTTGATGAGGGGAGGAGGGGGAGGTATTCAAACAGGATTTTTATTACGGACCAGCGCATTTCTTCAGTTATCCAGCTGCTTCCCTTCCTAACCCTCCACCCTTGAAAAAAGCTCCCACCTTCAACATGAAAAACAAACTAGTCCATGAATTACCCGTCTTTTATCCCTTCCCCTCTCCCAACCCCATTAAATGCTTTGGACAGAGTAGGCATCTGACAAATGTTTACTAACTATCACAGGTCCCTGGGAACGGTGAAATAATGCTTTCAGACGAGACTAGTGGATTCTCTATCAGAATCCTTGACAACTTTAGGAAAAAGAAGAAATACAGTTTCATATTTATATAAAAATGAGTAAGTATTTAAAGACACTGCACTCCCCGCCGCAGGAGAGCAATTCACATTCACGGGGATTATCTTCCCACTCTCTGACAAGTCCATCTCCCCCAGTTTCCCCACATCTCCCGTTTTTCACATACACAGTCCTTATTTTCAGCTGCCACCGACACAAGGCAGCATAGGACTATTGCCCCTAATTAGCTAAGTTCAGACAGAATGACCGTGTAGGACTGAACATGTACCCATAATCAATTACTAGTACCTGCAAACAGGTATTGGCAAGAGGGCTAATACTGCAGAGTCAGTGGAAATTTCCATGGCAGGATAACCCCTTCTTGCTGAAGAAGAGATCATGTAAGGTGCCAAGGTAGGGAGGTGGGCAATGACCTAGGAGAGAAAACTTTCGCCCAAGTTGGAGCACTGTTCCCATGGAGTGCGGTGGGGAGGACAGGAATGGAGAGGGATGAGTGGGAGCAGGGAAAGTTGTGTACTCACGATGGAATGATAAATATAAGCTACACTATAGAAAAAAATTCCTTCCTCCTAAGATATGTTTTCTCTCCTTTACCTTTACAGTTTAGAAAACTTTCAAGAAAGCAGTTAAGGATTTAAAAAAAAAAATAAATAACAAAGACCAACTGAATTCTAGGAAATAAAAAGCCCAAACATTAGTTTTGTTTGTTTGTTGTTTTTTGTTTGCTTTTCTGAACTCAAGCTGAAACTTACATTAAAATTCAAAAGATGTTTTTGTATTTTTAAATTTCTCCCTATTTGTCATTTACCTCCCTTGCCATTTATAAGCGAAGATAGTACATAGATAGTCAATGTGTTTGTTTCCTTCAAATATATGTTTTCATAAAAAAACAGAAGAGAAAACCACACTGAGCACTTTGTAGAGGCATAACACATGCCCCAAACCACAAATAGAATCCATAAAACTATAGGCTTCAAAGCAAATGCTACAGTCATTTTCTATACATATAAGCAAATGGGTTCAATTGATTTCAACGCCTGCATGTTTTTTCAATCTTTTAAAATGAAATGACACAAAACTAGCACCTTGCTTGTTGTTCTAAAATTTCCTCAACTCCACAGGTATTATCATTCCCCGAGCTGGCTGCCGGGAGAGGGAAGTAGGAGAACATGTTCAAATGCCTGGCTGCAGTTTGCAGGGAGGCTCTTACCAGCCGAGCGGTGGGGTGATCTGTCCAACTCCACCCGGAGACAGCGGGTAAAAGGTAGGGATCTCAGGAGCAGGAGGGTGTCTGGACATGCCTATTAAAGAGAATGGAGAGGTAGAGTGTTCAGATTTGTAGGACATTTGACTCTTACGGCAATGGAAAGGCAACAGAATGCTTTTTGCCATTACTTCTTAGCAGAAGTCAACAGGTTTTAAAATAGTACATCTTGTCTGGCTGGCTTGGCTCAGGGGTTGAACGTCGACCTATGAACCAGATCGTAGATTCCTGGTCAGGGGCACATGCCTAGGTTGTGGGCTCCATCCCCAATGGGGGACATACAAGAAGCAGCTTGTGATGATTCTCTATCATCATTGACTAGAGGCCCGATGCATGAAATTCATGCACGGGTAAAATCCCGAGGCCAGGTCAGCCATCAGGGCCGATCTGAGCCTTCTGGCTGCTGACTGGGGCCTTCCTTCCCTGGCTGCCAGCTCCTGGCTGGGGCCTTTCTATGTTCAGCGCCACCCCCAGGTGGTCAGCGCACGTCATAGTGAGTGAACTCCTGGTCTCCCGGTTGAACTCCCAAGGGGACACTTTGCATATTAGTCTTTTATTTATATATTAATAGAAGATGTTTCTATCTCTCTCTATCCCTCTCTTTTCCTCTCTGAAATCAATAAAAATATATTTTTTAAAAACTAAGTTCATCTTGAGGGATTACTGAAATAGTAAATATACTGCTAATAAAAGCCATCAAAATAAGACTTTTAAATTATTTAGTTGGCCCACATTATTTTACTGTGGTTAAGAAAATGGTAGACAATTATTTTTGTGTAGAATGGAAAATGACAGGCCTTCCTAAGTAGACGGCCTGCCTGGTGCTCAAGGATTAGGTAAATTGCCAATTTCATATTTTTATTGGCTCCCTTATGGACAGACAGATTTGGGAAATGGGATACCTCAGAGAATCAAACATTAATTAGGAATCATCTGCAGCCCCATAATGGTCACACTTGATATGATTCACTTGGTCTCTGCCACTTCAGCTCCAACTAAGCTCTTCATCAAGTTGAGTCCTCTGGGCTCCAAGGTCAACCTGCTCGGGATTAGTTGTGTCCCATAGAAAATGAGAGTGCCACCAAATTGTTTCTTGAGCTCGGACTCCCTAGAGCTCATATTGGCCTATCACTGTAAAAAGCGCCTACAGATTATACCTAATCCTAGTCCCAAATGACATCTCTTTGTTTATATCTTACCTTGGGTACAGAAAAGAAGGGGTAAGATGCATTCACAAAAATGCAAAATATTTTAAACTTAGATTCAATGTATTTGGGGGGAAATGAGTGATTCTGAATAGAAAAAGACCACAACTTCTTTCTTATACAGCTAGTCTGACTGTATAAAGTCATTTCCATATAAAACCCACATTCCCAGGTTGAAGACTTAGAGGATGCACTCAGTGGGTGTAAATATATTGATTGGCCAGTATGTGGAGCTAGGTGAGCATATGGAGATGCCGTTAACATGTTCTACATTTTTACTGTTTAAATTGATTATGAATTTCATTTGAATTTTAAAAGATGCTGAAGGCCTTAAACATATAGGAATAACTTAAGAAGTGTTGCTTTCATAGTTGATATTAATTTGACTTTGAAGTTAGGACAAACTATTTCTCAATTCTTACAGAAAGTGGGTGGGATGTAGAAAGGTCCTTAATCTCCCCCTCAATAGAGCTTACATGCTTTTACATGATCATCTCATGTGTAGCTGCTTTTGAGAGAATGTTCTTCAAATCTCTCTCTCTCTCTCTCTCTCTCTCTCTCTCTCTCTCTCTCTCTCTCTCTCTCTCTCTTTTGGCTAGAGGTACTGCCTCTTCTGGTCGCAGTAGAAACCCCCCTCCTCCAATTTTATAATCTGGATTTTCTTCTTTGGTTTGGTGAGTTTGAGCAGCTGGGGTGATCCTAAGGCGTATCAGAATCATGGGAACCTCTCCACTGGCCTCCACCCTCCCCTGAGATTCACAGATCTCCCCATTCCTCAGGGTCTGCAGGGGGACTGCTCAGTTTTGAAAAGAAAAACCAGACCAATCAAGGACTTTGGGAACTCTGTGAAAATATGCACTTGAAATTCAGGGTTAGAGAGACTACCGAATTATCTACTTTAATTAATAGTTAAAATCCTTGGTTAGAGAGTTGAACTGACTGTTTGGGCACACACAAAATAATGGCTTGTCCTGGGCTCCTCTGACCGGGACACAGAGAAGTAACTGGCTTGCAATCACATGCCTCTCAGCAGACAAGTTTGAAAACTCTGCTGCCACGCTAGTCCATGTTCTGAGTGTGTGGAGAACACATCAGCGATTCTGCGTAGGTGCGGTTCAGCAGAGCAATATACAAACTAGCTGGACTTCGTTTTACTGCTCTGAAGGAGGAAGGAGAATACTAACATTTACTTAGCACCTGCTATATGCCACTTCCTAAGCTAGTCTTTTGACTGTTTCTATTAAAATTCTACTCAGATTTCAAATACCCCTCTCCCATGGAATATTCTCTAACTTTTACAGCTCTGAAAAATCTCTTTCTTCTTTGAATTCACAAGGTTTTATTTGTACTTTTAACGTGGTACTCAAGATGTTCTTCATTTTCTTTTATAGTTAGTTTGTGCAAATGATTTCCTGCCTGGGTTTAAACAGAGCTTGGGAAAAGAGAAACCATGTTTTGCCAATCAATGTATCAAACCAGGGTTTGTCTCCACAGGAGGCTCTCAATAAATACTTTTGAGTGACTGAACAAATGAACAAGTGAAAAAAAGTGTTTAAACAGACCGATTCCCCATGCTGGGTCAAGATTATCAACCATTTTGCAGGTACAGAAGTACATGGTGGGCCTTAGGTCACTACATGAGCAGAAGATGGATCTCTGTTTTCTAAGCAGGTTATTGTTGTCTTAAGAACCTGCTCCCAAAGATTCCTAGAAGTGTGTGACCCTCTACCAACTGCTGACTTCATATCTTGATTTAACTGCTATTTACTGGACACCTACTGTGTGCTGCAGGCTATACACAGCATGGCCTTAAACATTTGCAAGCTTTTACAAGTAACTTGGAGTTAGACTATATGGACATATTAATTTTGCCACTCAACTACATATCTTTGAGGAAGTGATTCATTATTCTGTAAAATCAGAATAAAAATAGAACAGGGGTTGTTGTGAAGAATAAATACATTAATAGGTGTAATACAGAAAACACCTGGCACACAGTATAAGTGATATGTTTTTGTTGTTATTTAATAGGAAATCCATGAATAGAAAGATATAAGTAGGTATAAATAAACCCAGCATTTCCTAAACGCTCTTTCTTTTTAATATTTTTACCAGAAATGAGTAGAACAAAATGATTGTTATTATCTTCCTTTCCTGTTTCTACACCTGCACACAACTCCACACACCAACACACTGACAGGAAGGTAAAAACTAACGTGCTTCCTAGTGGGAAACCAACCTAAGTTATTTTCTTATGAATGAGATGGGTTCTGCTGACGAACAGGTTAATTTATTGGATGATTATATCTAGTGTCAGAATATGCACATGACATCCTTTTGGTTTTCAGTTGTTGTTGCACTTTTATTTTTATTTAATAAAGCTAACCAGCTTCCCGGGGACTTTGAAACCAGTGACTCTGGCCTAACTAATGTTCTAACTAATTGAGCTACATGATAAAGCCAAAAGGCAGACTGAAGGAGAGAAAAGAAGGAAAAGCAAGAAACCTAGTGAGAATGTACTCTCAAATGAATAATATAATTTGAAATCATGTAAATCCATTCTTTTCAAACCAAAGTTTACATATCCCCTGAGATACATGAAGTCCAGGACAAAAAGTAATAAAAATAAAAAAAAAGAGGGTCTTTACGTTAAAAGCAAAACAAAGAGTAGAATGTGAAAATAATGCAACTTTTCAAAGAAACTGCAAGCAGACAACTTCTGGGCCTTCTCTAGTTCTGGAGTTTGTTAAAAAGAGAAAAGTTTGTGAAGCAAAGGTATAATTATAATTAGTAAGGCAAAACAAGATAGGGTAGCAGTAAGTGATGGGAACAGAAGATAAAATATAATAGAAATGTAATTGATACCCGTTTATAAACTTGTCTTTTTTAAAAATGGAACTGTCGCCGAAACCAGTTTGGCTCAGTGGATAGAGTGTCAGCCTGTGGACTGAAAGGTCACAGGTTTGATTCCGGTCAATAGCATATATATTGGTTGCGGGCACAACCCCAGTAGGGGGTGTGCTGGAGGCAGCTGGTCGATGGTTCTCTCTCATCGATGTTTTTAGCTCTTTATCCTTCTCCCTTGCTCTCTGTAAAAACTCAATAAAATATATTTTTTTTAAAAACTGAACTGTCTAGAATTCTTAAAGAGAAAATCTACAAAACTGATATATATATTATTCCTTTAAATAAGCTCATTTTGAAGTGCTTAGAACAGAGGCCAGGACATAGGAAGCACCATGTAACTGTTAACTAAATAAATAGTTAAACACTTAATAAAAACCCACTGTTGGGTTCTTTCTGTTAACAGCTTGTTTGAGTTCTTACAACTGCCTTTACCTGTCACCTACACCTTTGTGGTTCTCGGGCGTGTGTCTCTGGCTCAGGCCCTGCCTTGGGACCAGGATATCTAAACTGCCTACCTCATGTCGCCCTTTAGATTATTCCAATCCCAGGTCATACTTCTCATCTTCCCTCTGAAACTTGGCCTTCTTCCTAAAATGCCTTCTTCCATAAATCCATAGACCTGTCCTTGATGTTTCTTAATTTTTGGAGGTCCCTGGTACCAGGAAATAGAGAAAGGACCGAAAATGATCAAAACTGAGGCATACCTGGTCACCTCTGCATGGGTGATTCTTACCTTCTTTAAGTAGAGGTATGGGCTCCACTCAAGTCAAAGTCCAGTAGTAACTAAGTCCTCAAATAAGCTGCCTATTTTAACCAGGGAAGGAAGTGAAGGTGCTGCGTGTGTAACCTGGAAGTACTCACAGTGGTGAAAAACGACAACACAACTCCCAGCCCCTGAACTCCACTCTTTTTCACAAACTTAACGTCGTTTCCACTACAGGACAAAGAGAGGGCTGGACAAAGGGGTGAGGTGCTGAAGATGGTAAAAATGTCACCTGTCTATTCTCTGCCTTCACTTGGTTTTACAGAATATTTATTTCTCTTTCTTCAGTTACAGTTGATGTTCAATATTATATTACTTTCAGGTATGTGGGATGTATTTGGAACCCCTAAAGATTCTGTTGAAGTGCAAGTGTGGACGTACATGGAAAGAGCACAGGCCGCCCAGGAACAAATTTAACCTCAGAGTTGGCTCTCAGTCCGAGAGACCCGCAGGTGGGGAGACCCAGAGCTCTGTGTCCACAGCCAAGCACCCCACCCCACTGGAATTCCCATTTCTCAGACCTCTGTGCTGTGTGCTTTTCTGTAAGCGATACAGAAGGGGAACTTGGCAATAATGTAGAGAAGCAAGTAAGATTCATGTTATGGTTTTGTACTTTTATTATCCGTGTCTAAGTTGGTGCTGTAAATAATAAAAAAGAGGATAAAACCTAACAGGTATATGACTGAAACTAAAAGAAACCACTAACGGCTCAAAAAGGTAATATTTGAAAGTAAAAATTTCCTACTTTGTCCCTTTTCTAACTTTTCTTTAAAAAATGTATTTTATTGATTTCAGAGAAGAGAGAGAGAGAGAGAGAGAGAGAGAGATCAGTGATGAGAGAAAGTCATTGATAGGCTGCCTTCTGAACGTCCTCTACGTGGGATCGAGCCCACAACCAGGGCATGTGCCCTTGACCAGAATCAAACTCAGGACCCTTCGGTCCGCAGGCCTAAGCTCTGTCCACTGAGCCAAACTGGTTAGGGCTCTAACTTTTCTTTTAACACTACCATCAACTCCTACCGTGTTTCCCCGAAAATAAGACATCCTCCAAAAATAAGACCTAGCGCGTGGAAAGATAAGACATCCCCTGAAAATAAGACCTAGCGCAACTTTGGGAGAAAAAATTAATATAAGACACTGTCTTATTTTGGGGGAAACAGGGTGGTACTGCTGAAATAATGAGTAACTGTAGGAGGACTTAAAGACTGGATTTTTAGTAAATTTGTATAACATATTGGTCTATATTGTGGAGTCTAGACTTTCAGAGCTGTCACTTTGAAAATAACCCTTCTAGGTTCTTCATGTTTTTGTCCTGAAAAATAAAAGCAGCAACAACAAATTCTTTTGGGTTTTTTAAAACGGCTATAAAAAATTATTCTTGTCTCCTAACAATCCATTTAAATTTTTTTTATTTCTTTATTGATTAAAGTATTACATATGTGTCCTTATTCTCCCATTACCCGCCCCCACCTCCCATTCATGCCCCTACACCCCTGTTGTCTGTTGTCCACTGGTTAGGCTTATATGCATGCATACAAGTCCTTTGGTTGATCTCTCCCCCTTACCCCCACCCTCCCCTACCTTCCCTGAGGTTTGATGTTCTGATTGACATTTCTCTGTCTCTGGATCTAATTTTGTTCACCAGTTTATGTTGTTCATTATATTCCACAAATGAGTGAGATCATGTAATATTTATCTTTCTCTGCCTGCTTATTTCACTCAACATAATGCTCTCCATCTCTAACAATCCATTTTGATCCACCCGGTGACAGGGAGCAAAGGCCCCGGTGAGGTCCCCAGGCTGGCGTGGCACGGCTCCTCCCTGACTGCAGCAGCCCTGGACGGGCAGGGCTCTCACCTTGTTTGGAGTTGACATCTGACGGGATGTGTGACGGGTGTGATCCTGGAGAAAAGTGCTCGTCGCTGTAAGTGATGAGGGGGGTGAGAGGATGAACCGCATGGGATGGCTGCACCACGGGCACTTTATTCGACTGCAAAGTAACCACAAGGTCAACAGTTAACCATGGATGCCTGGCTCCTGTCTCCTCTCCCAGAGAAAAAGCCACACAATAGCAGTAACTGGGCACCAGCATAGCCGGAGAGTCCTCGCCAGACCTGGAGAGCGGAAATCAGCTGCTGTACCCATTTAGACCTCCAGAATCTGTCCGTGCTAAATACTACTTATGTCTTACTAGCCCAGTGGTCGGCAAACTGGCTCTTGAGCCACATGCAGCTCTTTGGCACCTTGAGTGTGGCTCCTCCACAAAATACCACGGCCTGGGCGAGTCTATTTTGAAGAAGTGGCGTTAGAAGTTTAAAAAATTTGGCTCTCCAAAGAAATTTCAGTCGTTGTACTATTGATATTTGGTTCTGTTGACTAATGAGTTTGCTGACCACTAGGAGGTTATCAGTTATTTAACCAACTCCCCTATGGAGATGTAGGTTGAGTGCTATTATTCCATATGACATGAATCCTATACATATTTGTTTCCATGATCTCTTCAGAGTGATTTCAACAAAGAGTTATTGGAGCAAAGGATATGAATGCTTTATAAGCTCTTTATTCATTACATATGTCTAGCAATAAAAAAGCACTCAATAAAAAATTATTCAATGAACAAATAAATACTGCCAATTTGAAGGGCAACATTTCAAACAACCTAATTAATAAATATAAATTTGCTGTAATGATATTCCATTGATTTATATAATTTATGATTCTATAAGTGTACATCTCTAAGAATCATGTTATACCACTTTAATGTGTTATAGCTTTGTCAATGAAACTTGACCACCCATTGTGTTTTAGGCCTACTCAGTTCATCTTCATGATCTCTAGTTTCTAAGAAGTCTTAATTAATAAAATGAATTTCCATTCTTGTGTTTAAATGCATAATGTGAAATATAGCTTGTAAAAATCACTTTAAATTGTTAACAACTTATATATTCTATCTTGTATTTGTTTAAAAATAAATTTATTTAAATTGGAAGCCCAAAGCTACATAACATTTTTTTTAAGGTACAGGTTATTTATTTGGACTTCATCAGTTTGAAATCTGGGATCTTTTTGTTTGCTTATAGTTGAATAAACTCCTTGCCCCCTCAAGAAAGTACACTAAGTAAATCAGTAATATAAGCAAGACCCAGGCAGTTTAACCTAATTAAGATAGATTTTTCAGAAACTTTATACCTCCTCCCCCCAAAAGACAATAAACTTGACATAACTATATACATACAAAATGTTTCTGATTTTAAACACATAGACTAATTAAACCAGTCTCACAAAGATCTCTATTTGCAAACATTAAACTTGTGATTTAGGAGGGATAAGATACAATGAATATTAACTATTAATTCACTACTTCAGACATGCCTTCACCATCAATAGTTTGAAATCATGAGATTTTTACTGTACTAGTCTAAAATGCACCTGAAATCCATTTCTCCAAAAGCAAATGTCTGTATTTAAAAATTGGGGGAAGTGCTTGAAAACTGCCCTGCACAGTATAAACTGCCTAGAATGCGGTCTATATCCGGCTGGTTTCGGGCCCTGAAACACCCGTGTGTGTGCTGGTAGCACTAGGATATGCATCATTTCGCATTTGATGTTTTTTACAAATTAGGTATAAAAAGTAAGTGGCTCCAGCAAGAAGGTCTACCCTCAGGAAAATTAGGAGCAATTATCCTAGTAACACTAAATTCTCTTTACAGCCAGTAATAGTAATTTTCTATACCCTGTCATTATAACCTCCACCCAAAAGAAACTGATGAAGGGAAAAAACGCAAGGCGGGGGGGGGGGGATCACCCTTTTTCAGACCATGATATGATTTTCCCTGTTTTATAATTATCAGCTCCTCTCTAATGGCAGCACTTGCATCGCCAGTATAGCCCTTGGCATTTATTAAATAGAACGCCATTATCAAAGCCACATGCCTTTTCTCTACATACCTCAGCACAGACATCTATGCATATAAATGTGTAAAAGGTTAAAAAAAATGTTCCAGTGCTTTTCAAGTGTTAATGATGCAGTCTGCCAAATACAACGATGAGCTTCTTACATACAAGGAGTTCAGAATCTAGAGGAGGAAGGGGGTGATGGGAGGGTGGGTGCGGAGATGGGGGGATATTGTTATAAACCCCTTTTCAAATGGAAACAAAAATCTCAACACCCAAATGCTAAAACGAATATGTTTCAACGATACTTTAGGATAAGAGCTTTGATTTTCATTTCGAAAGTCTCATAAGTATAGTTGCCAAACAATCCAGGAAGATATTTTCTTAAGGTAGTTGAAAAGAAATAAGCATTGCAGAAATCTCCTGAAAACACTTATGCATTTTGCATGCCTTTCTTATTTCCATAGCACCATCTTCAGGAACTCGCATTAGCAGGCAGCCTCTCCTTAACGTCTGACCTATCCCTCCAGTCATATAGCTCAGAATTCAGTGCCATGAATTTTTGCTAAATTATGCTATCCTTGCTCTCCTCTTAATTTTACGGTTTTCAACACAGATTTGCTTTCCTGTGGGAAAGAGATAAGAAGCCAGGGATTTTAATTTAAGCTTTGGCCTTGTCTTATATTTTGCACGATGGATAGCGTACTAGGAGTGTGTTATAACCAACAAGGCTTATGTCCATTTTGGTGGCCAAATCAATATGAAAGCAATATGAAATCATCATAGTAAGAGTGAGCACAATTCTCAAGTTTTATATTTGGCTCCTGCCAACCACCTCCACCGGGCACCTGAGCAGGATCAAAGGACACTACACATCACCAGCATGATCGAGTGTCCTCGGCCCTAAACAGTGAGCTTCCCCTGAGAGCACGAGGGACTGTCCTTTGACACTATGTGCACGCACAAGGCAAGAACCCAGGCACAGCTGCTCTGAGTAAGTTTTAAAGACAATATAACCGTTCTTAATTCTAGCCTCAGATCTCCAAATCACCATGTGGTGCATCTTGGGTGGGGCAAAGGGAAAGGAGGAGGAATAACCAAGTGACTGCCTGGTCTTTACAGACAGCTTGATGTAATTGCATTATAATGTGCGGTTGCGCAGTGCATGTGGGCCTATGTGTGTATTTAAGCACCTGCAATGTGCCAGGAGCAATGAGGGCGCTGATGGCCAGCACAGATGAGGCTGCTGTTCTTGAGCAGCCTCCTTTCTAGGAGCCTGGAGACAACGGACAAATACGTAAACAAGACGAGTAAAATCTCAGAGGGTGACATCGAATACTAAGATGAAAAGAATGCTGGGGATAAGAGAGTATAGTAATTGTATGCCTTTGTATTATGTTAACACTGTAAGAAACCAACAGTTTTAAACCAAATAGTCTAAGATTCTATTTTCTAAAACAGGAAATGGAGGTCACCAGGGAATGGGTGAGCAAGCCAGGACTGCTTTCAGCACTTAGGACAACCCAGGGCTGCTCACTGCACCACTCCAGGAGCTCAGGGTCACTGGGGATACCATGAGTCTGGAAACCCTAGGACCTCGAGGCAGTGGGGGCCATCCTTTTAGCTCCTACTCTGCGCACCTCGAATCTCATTCCATAGACACCCCTGGCCCCCGGCTCCCACACATCTCCCCACGGGGAAGGGCGGGAGGACACACGGCTTTCTTTTCCACTCACAGGTACAATCAGGTGAGTCTTAGCTTCCTGTGGAGAAGCACCAGGAGCTCCCAACGTTTGTCCTGTTTCCTTTCCCAGGTGACAGCAGGCAGTTGCCCCACCTTCATGAGATCGCCAGGAGCCTGGGTCATCCCCCGAATGCCGAGGCCGCTCAGAGGCGGAAGCACTCAGGCCTAAGCTCACATGGCAGTAAGCGGCTCCGTCAGGCCACACCCCCTGCTATTTTGATTCCATCTAGACTTCACATTCTTTTATCTCAAGCAGGGGATGGGTTGGGTATGCAAAGGAAAAGAAAAAGATGGAGAGAGTGGGTGGGTCCTGAGAGGAAGGGGGCACAGAACACCAAAGGCGGACTCCAGAAGATAGCTCTCCCACTCATTCAGCAGGAAGCTCACAATCCCTTCCCAAACTCAAAAAACCACCACCAGGCTATCCTACCCACAAAGCACATCATTATCATAGCAACTAACACCATACCTTGGAGATAGGTACACTGAGGCATAGAAAGAAGGTCAGCAACTTTCCCAAGGGCCACATTCACTGCCAGTCCGGCACGCACCCTCCCGGGAGAGCCAAGGTCATAAAACCTCGGGCTCTGCACCGACCATCTGGGCCATACCTAACAGGACGCATGTCCATGACGACCCCATGGTCTCTGTCCCAGGCGCAGGAATCGCCTCGGGCTAAGAGGCGCCTCAGCGGAAGCGGTGAGGCCTGCAGAGACGCCACCGCCACCCTCTCTCCACGGCTGGGAAGCCTTCCCGGAAGCTGTGTGGTGGCCACCCAGGCTGCTCCCGGCAGGCATCGGCCTCTTTGGCATCACGGCCAAAACACCCACACGAAGCACATGCCATTTGGGGATCCGGAGAGTCACCCTCAGCAGCATTCCCAGAAGCGACCACTCCCCCGCTGGCATGAAAGCTCTCAGCCTCTGGGTATGTGGTTCTTTCTGGAAAGGACTAAAAGGTGGTTCAGCTCCCTCCTGGCCAAGGCGTGGGCCTGCTGGTAAGTGGAGTAATTGGGGAGAAACCTGCGGGTCTGCTGGATAGAACCCATTTTGCACGTCTCCAGGTTTCAACCAAACCCACAGCACAAAGAGGATCTAACTGTGCATAAGGCCCCGAGTACCATTTCAACTGGCTGTGCATTTCACCCAGAGTCCTCCCGGCAATCACTGAATCCAGGGGCATTTTAACACTCCACCAACCTGCTGAAATGAGGAATTTCATCTGGTTGTTATGGTGGTATTCAAGGCTTTATTACATTCCTAGAAAGTCTGGTACTGGTACAGTAGAAGCCCTGAAATTTCACCTCATGCCTTCCCTCCTCCTATGAGAATCCGGGCTTCCTAAGCCTTCCC